GACTTTAATATCTGGCTGCTCGGTCCCCCCCCCCCCTTAACTCTTTGCAAAACTGCTCAACCTTTTATCAGGTTGCATGGGGATCGTGGGCATACAGCTTGCCTTGATTTTTTTTCTTTTCAGTACTTGCTAATACCCATAATGGCATCCATGGGCCCCGCTTCCTGATTACCTGGAAGTCAGTGTTCTATTGAAAGAACACCAGCTTTACTCCTCCTGCGACACTCCAAGGCAGTCTTGGTTACTGACCAGTCAGGAAGCCGGGCAGTGGATCATGACATGCCGCCTGACTTCTTGGTTAGTCAGGAAGCCAGGCTGCCTAGCAATAAGTGAAGCCAGCTTTGTAGCCAATTAGGAAGCTGGGTGGCATGTCATGAGCCGCCTCCCGGCTTTCTGAGTGGTCGGGCTTCCTAGTCAATCAGGAAGCCGGGCGGCGGGTGATGATGCGCTGCCCGGCTTCCTGATTTGCTATGAAGCCGGCTTTACTCAATGCTAAGCAGCCTGGCTTCCTGACCAATGAGTAAAGCTGGCTTTCAAGCCAATCAGGAAGCTGGGCGGCACGTCGTAACCTGCCGCCAGCTTCCTGATTGGCTCCGGGAAGCCAGCTCCATGCTACCTTGCGGCACTGACAGTCAGAGGAGATCTCCCTCTGACCGGAAGTTCATGCAAGTCTTAGTTAACAGTGGTTTTCTTTTGCCACTGTCCCATAAAACGGCAACTGGTTAAGCACTTGGGCAACAAATGTCAACCGCATAGTCTCTGATCTCAGCCATTGAGACTTGTAACTCCTTTAGAATTTTCACTAGTCTCCTTGCAGGGTTGCTCATGGTAGACTGCCTGTTCTTGGCAGATTTACAGATGAGTTTTTTTGCAGAGATCTGTTTCACTTTGACATCTATATATGTTAATCACATCCACTGTGATTAAATGTTGTATGACAACATGAAAAGTGTACGGATACTTTGTGGTGCCTTACATTAATATAGTAACACTTAAACATCACAACCTCCCCTCCAATCCCTGGATTTACCTAATAAATTTGTATATTTGCTTAAATGTCTTTTTTACTTTCCTCAGTGTGCCCTGGACATACTGATGTGTAGAATGTATACACCCTTATATAAGGCTCCTGATCCTTGTATTGTACCGGCATAAGGCACTTGGTAACAGAGCTGTAGTTGTTGTCCATAGGCTTAATGATAAAATTGGCTGCACAAAGTTCATTCTA